ATGAACAACCCTCTGATTTTTTAAAATGTTTAATAGAGGGACTGATAAAACACAGTTTGTGAAATGTTAATTCATAGATAGACAGACAGATTACTCTTGCAGATAAGTTGAAGAGCTACGAAAGATAGCTTTTGCTCCAGACAGCTCATTTGATACTTTGGTAAAAACTGTTTAAGTGCCCTATAATTGGAACTGGGATAAAACCAAGGAGAGAAAGCAAAGAGATAAAAAATGGCTGCCATTATTGCAGCCCCAAAACAGACCCTATGTCTAATTCTCTTGGCTCCATGAAGAGCTCAGCGATGATGATATTCATCTGCTACTGCTGTCAGAAGCCAGGCCAGCATAAGATGGACTACCTTAAGAGGCCCACAAGCCATGCCCTGACTGCCAAGGCAGCCACTAAACGTGAGACTGCACTCTGAGGTAGAGGCCCCAGAACTCAGACTCAGCTTTCCAGGTGGTCCACTAGGACTGAAGAGCCCTGGGCCTGCCTCTTCCCTCTGGCCAGACTTACCTCTACCTGCCATCTCCATGGAGGAGCCCTGAGTAATCATGACTATAGGAGGGAAAAGAAACCCAGCCTATTTATTGCTGGACATTGGCACAGGTCTCTTTGTCCTTCTCCAATTCTGAATTTCCCTCCAGTCATCATACCTCAATAGAAACAGACTTTAAAAGATATATTGCTTTAGCTATAACTGAGGTTGTTTACTAAATGATGATTTTGAGACTGATGTTTTACAAATGTAATATACTGTTATTCATGTGTAAGACTTAAAGTATTTCACTAGTTAAAACAGGTTCCCAAGGACAGATAACAACCTGTCAGAGTAAAAATGTTCTAAAGAAACTGGCTCATGCAGTGTCCAATAGCTTTGGGTCTATAGATAGAGCCAGGCATTGTATTTGTGATGTAAAACTCAGAGCCACAGTGTTAAAAGGAAACATCCCTTGGCAGTGTCCCTTGCTTACCATGGGGGCCATATCCGAAACACTGAATGGGACATTAATCTAATATGACTAAATGCTTTGTATTTCATGATGAGTATGTAAGCCTGGTTGATTTTTAATATATCTCTGGTATTTCATGCTGATAGTCATTACATACTTGACCTCTCTTAACTAAAGCTAGAGGGACTTACAGCAAACTGTCAGACTCCATGAATAAAGGGGTCTACGAGCTAGTGAGTTATGATTTCTAGATTTCAAAAATGTTTACAAATGTACCTGTTAGCTCGAATGTTCATGCTTTGATTATATATGTTCTAATCTCTCAGATAATTTATTTCTAGAAGATAACAAAACCTAGGTAATCATGCAGGTAAAATATAAAATTAAACCCCACATTTAAGAGATCTCTGCTAGTGGACTTAAAAAATGTTCTGACTAGTGTTTTTATTTGGCCAATGTATGTTTAATAGTTTCTTTGCCTTTGTCTTCAGATTCAAAGCTGTAATGAAAATGTGTGGTGTCTATTGAGGGGCTTTAGATAGAACCTCTGAAGAATATATCTGACTGCCAGTCAACAACTATGACCCCTTTCAACTTGAAGAAACCAGAGCGGTCATTGCTCATAGTTCCCCCACGGCAGTTTGGGTTACTTCATCAGAGGGGGTAATGTTGTAGGCAGCTGAGTTAGATAGAGATATTATAGGCAATAAGACAGGGTCAGGCCCTCAAGGAGACAAGATGGAAGACAAGGTGACTTTGCAATTTGGAAGAGACAGACACTCACACTCCCATATGGGCCACACCTGAAGACCAAGACAAAAAGAGGAAGCACGGCTACATACTTTCCTAGGGATGGTCATTAGGGTTTGATATCCTAAATAGTATCAATCAACTTGAAAGAGCCCAAAGGAGTCAGCCCAACCCCCAACAGGAATAGACCCTGTTCTTTATTTGTGCCCTCTTGCTACATGACTCACTTTCCCATTTGATACTGGATTTAATCAATTTTACCTGAGCAATGGTGCTTGTAATCTCATTGGTTGACCATAGTTTTGTTCCACCTCATGCACACCTGAGCGAGTTCCCATGTCTTCTTCACCACTTTAGACCTGCCTCACCACATGGTTTTCCTCTATAAAAGTCCCTGAAAGAGACAAATTCCTGGGGGGGAACTACCCACTTGGGCCCCCCTCCTGTCTCTCTCTTGGGACAGGAGCTTTCTTTCTCTCAATAAATATATTCTGTTAATATATTCCTCTGTTTGTTCCTAAAATTCATTCTTCTGTTTTACAGAACATGGACTCATGCAGGTCAGGTCCAGAGATCATTTTTTTCTCTGTCATTTGGAGGTTCCCTATATTGTTTGGAAGTCACTCACCAGAGACCAGTTTTTCTCCCTGTATCAGTATCACTTATAACTTTTCTGTTTTAATGCTTTTTTTTACTCTCTTTAGAAAATTAAAGTACACATTATACATTTAACTTTTTCCTATCATCAAAGCAAAATAACTCGTCAAATATTTCCAGTAAGTACAAAAATAAAAAGTTTGTACTTTCTTTACATTGTTGTCTTAGTTACTCTTCTCTAGTTGCTGGGACAAATACCCAACACTCAAAATGAAGGAAGGGAAGCTCACAGTTACTGGCGGCTTCAGTCCATACTCAGCTGGCTCCAAGGCAGAGAAGCACATAGCAGAGGGCAACCTTTCAGGGCAGCAGCAAAGAACAAGAGCAGAAGGGAGAGGTAGCAGCAGCTCAGGCAGCTAGCTTCTCTTCCCACCTTACATTGTAATGCAAATTACCTGCCCCAGGGCAGGTGCAGCAGCCACACCCACAGTAATCAATCACAAATTCCAGAAGCCTCCCCAAGACTGCATGAGGCTTTGGGGGGACACCTAGACACAAACCATAACAATTGTCTTGTGTCTTTCTTTTGTTCATAATGTACATTTTATCCATTTTGCTCCTGTATCATCATTCAATACTTATTTTTTAAAGTTCCTACTATAGGGGCCAGTGAGATAACTCAGCAGACTAAAGCACCTGATTAGGCAAGCTTAGGCAAGTTCAGGGATTGTGAACCAACCCCACCCCTAGGGAGGCCTAAGTTATGTACCAAGTCTTGGTGTAGGGTCACATGCCAGTAATCCCACCACTGAGGTGGCTGGAAACAGGAGGATCACTATAAGTTCCAGTTGCATAGTGAGACCGTGTAACAACCAAAGACATTTAAAAAATAATACAGGAATAAATAAATAGTGGTTTAAAAATAAATAAATAAAATTCCTACTATGTTCAAATACCCTTGTTAGATGTTAAGGAGCATGAAAAAAATAACTAGAATTTTGTTATGTTCTCAAGATATTTGGATTCTAATAAAGTCAATATGCACTATATTACATAAGTTTAACACTTTGAAACTCAAATTTACTTCTGTATTATCTATTTTTGGGTGAGGCTCTGGGAATGGAACTCATGGCCTAGCACTTGGCAGGCTGGTGTTGATCTATTGTCTTATAATTATCAATATCTTGGTTTTCATTCTGTCTTGCTTTCATAATCAGTAATAAACTGAAAGCAGAGATGTATTGTGGGGCCTAGTAAGGACGTTACTGTTATACGTATGCTAGATATTTGATATCTCATGTCACTTCCTTAAAGATAGAAATTATAGCATAAGCTTAATGTGATTTAAATCTGCACTGTGGTATATGGTAGCTTCCCTTAGCCATGTGTTGAGCTTTTAGAACTAGTTGAAAACACAACATCATATAAAAGTAAAGTATAAATTTGGTGTGATGGTATATACCTGTAATGCCAGTCACTCTGCATGCTGAGACAGGAGGATTTCCACTTTCAGGCAGGCCTACACAACTTGTTGAGACTATGCCACAAGAAAAGACTAGCAATGTAGCTCAGTGGTAGAGTGATAGTTTCATATGCTCAGGGTTCCTGGTTTAATCCTCAGTACTACACACTAAATGAAAATGCACTCTAGATTTCCATGACTTGGTATGTAAACAATAATACAGAGGTCTTATTAATAATTTTCATTTCAATTATATGTTGAAATAATTTAGTTATGTTTACTGGAATGTAACTTTTTTCTAAAGGTATTATTTGTAGAATATTTATAATTATATACATGATTCATATTTATGACGAATTCTTTATTGGTAGCCATGATCAACCTCCTCCCCACTTCCTTCGTCTATTTGTCTAGGTGTAACCTGTTTCCAATAGAAAAATCTCTATTATCTTCCAAAAATATATAACAAGGTCTTTCTTCAACACTTCTGCATATCTGCTTGCATACTCTCTCCCTGCAGCATAGCTCATTGGCAAAGGCTTACACATTCTTTTACCTCCAACCTTTTCCCAAGACCTGTTTTAGTCTCTATCATATCGCATTGCACTTTGCAAAATTGTGTACAGGGTGGTTTGTTTTGTTTTGTTTTGTTTTATTGCACCTGGGATCAAACTCAGGACCTTGCATTTGCAAGCTGTCTCCCCAACTCAAAATTGCATATTCACAGAGTCTCTGAATATCCTATACTGAACAGATTCTAATTTAGAATAAGCCTCAGTAAAATGGACTGAATGCAAGAAGAAACTGATTAAATGTACAGAAAATATAGAGGGCAACATTAAGCTCCTCCCCACCCCCTGTATCCTGGTACTTCTCACCCAAACACAACACCCTAGAAGAAAATAAAAAAAATACATATCTGACCCAACCAAAAACTCCTCTAGTACTGTAACCAAAATAAACACAAAGATAACACCAAGAAGCCACTCAGAAATAAAGCTGGTAGGTATTTATTTTCCAGCAAATATTGGCCTCCTTTTATAAAACTGAAGTCTAATGTCCTTGTGTTCTTGAGTAGTAGCTTCTTGTCAAAAGTTCATGAGAAAATAATTGCTACTTGGAAAATAGATAGTAGTAGTAACAAGATCAAACAAAATAGATAGTCATTTCACATGTGTGGCATCATTTTTCATTTCAGGAGACAGTGGTTCTTCAGAGGCCATTGCATCCTCAGGCTTCAAAATAGCTGATAAAATCTCTGGCATTCAGCACCAGAGGAATTGACCTGGTTTACTTGTACATCATAACTAGGAAGTTTAGGTCTTAAGTCACAACCTTCATAGCTGTATCCATAGAGATAACCATCATCAGGACGAAAAAGTAGCTCATCATTGTAGATGTTCAGGAAATTTCCATATATTTGATGAGAGAAGTCATCGCCTTCAGTGGGGTCCTCAAAGGGGACAGACATAAACATTGTAGGAAGATCAATGCTATCACTGAACATGTCAAAGGAAACATTTGGGTCTGCCCCAAAGATGCCTTGACTGGCTCCATAATCGGTTGGTTCAGAATGGAAGCCACCATCTCCTGCTACTGGGTAACCAAACCCAGTGCTTGGAGTATCTTTCCCAAATTGGTGCTGTAGCTTTAAATTTTGTTTTGGGAAAGCTACTTTAACTTCACATCATCTGGAGGCAATTAGATGAAACCTGAGGTCTAGTACCCTCCTCACTGAATCTGCATCACTATATGTGATGAAGCCAAAAGCTTGTCTTTTACTTGATCTTGGATACAGAGGAAGCTCGATTTTCTCAACCTCTCCAAATATAGAAAAATATTCTCTAACGTTTTCCACAGGCATATGAGGGCTCAACCCACCAACAAAAATCTTTCTTGGGGGTGATGCTGGTTGTATGGCTTTAGCCCTTTTGAACTCTATTTTCTTACCTTCCAGTTGGTGTTCTTTTATTTGGAGTACCTTTTCAACAGTAGCAGGGTCTTCGAAAAGCACAAATCCAAACCCTCTTGACAGTCCGGAGTCTGGATAAATTTTGATGACAGAATCAAGCACCTCTCCAAATTGAGCCAAGTATTCCAGAAGAGCTCCATTACTGGTATGGCGGGAGAGCCCTCCGATGAACATTTTCCTTGGATTTTGTTTGTATTTGCTGATCTTGATTCGGAACCCTTCTGGAAAGCATCCTCTGTCTTTGAGGCTACTCATAATTAAGCAGAAAGCCACCACGCTGTTGAAGCGAGGGGCGACTCAGCCTACACTGGAGAGTACCTGCCAGAGTGCGAAGCTCTGGGCAACCGGCAAAGGAATGTGACGTAAAAATTAAAGTGACGTAGTGACATGGTCACGTGCTGGCAAAAGTTAGAATTTTAAAATAGGTGCCAACGAGTATGCCTGGCATTACAATAACTGTACCAGCCACACAAAAGTAGACTGGCTTTCAAGCTTATTTTTCGTGTTCTTGAAGCTCTGGCCCATGAAAGGGAATATTTGTCACAAGAAGCAGCAACTCCTGCCTTCATTCCGTCTTTTCAAGTTATTATTTCTTTTATGTTTTGTTAAAACCATTGGTTCCTGGGGCCAGTGAGATAGATTAGCGGTCTAAAGCACCTGCTTAGGCAGGCACAGGTAACCACGGTTCGATCCCTTGCACCATATGCCATGATATCCCTGCCCTTAGGGTGGGCTGATCTGACCAAAAAAAAAAAAGTTTCTTTCCACATGGCTGCCTTGCCTGTCCATTGAAAATTTGCTCATTCTCCTAAAGTTTTATGGGCAGGAATGGGAAAGGAGATAAAAGAGGTAGAGTTAACTGAAGCACACACTACGGGAAAAGCACAATGCTTGTGTATCTGCAGGGTGCGTTAAAGGAATCTAAAGAAATATTTTTAATAATAGCTTTGTTGAAATTAATTTATATATGCATATGTTACCATTCTAATGTTTTACTTATATTTGAAGCATCATGTAATCATTACCTCAATCCAAAGTTAGAACATGTGTATTCCCCTGAAAAAAAAATTATGTACCTTTTATTACCCTTTATACCTCCTTGTCCTTCTCAATTATAAAATATTTGGCTTTTCCTAACTTTTTCATTTGGCCTTTTCCAAGGTCTAGTTTTTCAATCTGTTAGTGTTTTATTCATTTTTGGGGCCAAGTAATATTCCATTGTAATGTCATGCCACATTTTTTAATCCATTTCTCTAAAATGACACTTATCAACTGTGATTTATTGTGTTGTTCCATATCTGCACCATAAAATAAGCAGAGGAGTTTTTTCTGACAGTCATTTCATTTCATTGGCATGGGAACATAGTGCAGCTATTACAATTGTAGTTTGCCTCCTTCTATACTCTATCCTTAGCCATCTGATGTAATCAAGTAATTTGTGTATATCCCTTTACCTCTCAAATATTAGTTCATTTGAAAGAACCATTTTTAATTTTTCCACAGAACTTCATAAACCCTGTACATCAATGATCTCACAGAATTTCAGAAATTACTCATTTTAATGTAATAATAGTTTTAATAATAATGTCTATTTCTCTCTGCATCCTTGTACAAAGTATAACTTGGAGATAAAGAGCTGCATTTTTAAGACTCTTAAGGTTTGGTGCTTTTGGCAGACAACATGGCAATCTCCATGCCAGCTCACTACTGGAGACATTCCTGTGGGTGTTTCCTTCATCAGCTTCATGCCAAATTCCACATTACTAACTAGACTGGAAAATGTTTCACGATGTGGAGATGAAAAACATCTGTATAAAATGTACAAGTGAGAGACTACAGATCAACTTCCTCAGGAAGCAAACTTTTGCCAAAAGATCTTCAGCAAGTGGCAGATGAAATTGTTATTACAATTTCTTAAGATAGCCATCTTGCTAAAATCAGCAGTCAATGTTATAACATGTCATACTTGTGGCATGAAGAGGAGCTGAGATTTGGTCATAACCTCCATCATCTAGCTGACCCTTAGCACTTTTCTGGGTTGCAGTGAACAGTATGGTAAACTAGCTCCAGAACATACTGAGATATCATGAGTACAGTCCTAGAAAGAAGAGACTTTTTAAATTTCCTAGTGTTCCTAGAGGTTTGGTACAGGTGTGTCATTTTCCTGATGCAGTATATAGTTTAGTTAATTATAAATTTTAGTTGAAGAAATTTGGATGTTTTACTATGTCTGTGAATTATCTTTTGTCATTGACTTTATAGGATAAATACAATGCTCCTATATATGGTAAAAAAGAAAAGTATGCTAAAATGCATTTTGTGTGAAGAAAATGAAAACACTATCATTGAAATTAAAGCACAAGGAAAATAAATTACTTCACAAAAAAACAGTAAGACAAACATTTCGAGCCAAACTTCCTTGGTCTCACTGTACTTTTAAGTCATTTCAAGCCATATCTGTATCTACATTTTAGATATGTGTTCATATCCTTTTGCCTTAGTATATTCTGGATATTCTTCCAAAAATGTCTATGTTTTCTTCACTTCCAATCCTAGTCCACATTTCATCTATCTAATTATTATCATCTTCTTTATAGTCAACCCCTAACTTGTGAATCTATAGCATCCTTTGTATACATTTTTATTATTTGTGTCTGCCTTGCTCCACTGGTCAGTGATATTCTCAGGTTCAAGGTCATACCTAACATAAGATCTCTGCATTTATTATAATACATGTAATACTTAGCACAAAAAGAAACTAACTAAATACTTGGTGAAAAAAAGCTAAACACTAAATTTTGATGCTACATTTTAAGAAGTTGTTGCTCTAGCTGGCCTTTGGGTTGGTGAGTCAGCTACATATTACTTCCTGCATTACCAACCTGTTAAAGTTTGGAGCGATGACTTATCTTTCTTCAGCTTAAATAATTCTATGTGAAAGGTTGCCACTTTGAAATTTTTTATTTTTGGGTCATTTCTAAACCCACTTAGGTAACAATAGAGTAGTCAGAGCTCTCTTCTGTGACTGTTTTTAGTAGAATAAAAATCTTAGTGAAATTTTACTGTCTCTGTACTTTAAACTAACAAAGGCCCTTAATGACTATCTACAACTATTCACCCAGTTAGGCCTTGGCTGATCGCATATTGTTGACCTCTATGTAGGCTCATTAGCTTTATTTAGTTACATAGCTCCAGGGTGCATCCTTTACTTTAGTCTCGGCTTTGAAAATGTATTTTCTGGGTCACGAAGGGCTACTAGATCTGAGCATGTCAATGAGCCAGTGAAAAGAAAAACTATCTTTCCTTCTGGATATATAATTCAAAGCATTTAACCTATGGAGTTTGGGTCAACAACACCATCTTGATACATGAAAGAAAATAATTTTGATTGTAATTACTTTTGAGGCACTTCCTGCATGCCAATCTGCTAAATTTGGAAGACATGGACAAACACAGGCAAAGGAAGATCTAGATTATGACTCAAATTTTTTTTTTTTTTCTGAGAGGAAGCTATTTTAAAAATATCATTTCTTTTCCTGGCCCCTTAATGAAAATAATTGTGATTATTGAGATTTTGTCCTCTTACACACATATTCTAGGATCTTTAGCTACTTAAAATGTTTTGAAATAACCCCTTTCCACTGTAATGTCTGAAAAAATTAAAATCTGTGCTCTAGTTTTCTATTAAAAATTTGGTACACTAGTTAATATACTTTAAGTATTAAAAAACTTTCATTAGATTTCTAGTGCTAACTTTCATTATGGAGCAATATATCAGCAATAGTTTTGACAAGTAATTTATTCTTATTCCTTATTAACTCAAAGCATATGCATTGGAGATTTAAATAGAAGTCACTAGAAATTTCATTGTTGGTAAATGAATAAATGAAGCAAAGAAGGAAAGAAATGTAAAATAACTGTACAAACAAAGGAAAAAGGGTACAGAATTTGGGGGCTGGGGAGATAGCTCAGTAGAATAAATGCTTGCTTGGCAAGCACAAGGGTCTGAGTCAATCCCTGGTTCCACAAAAAAAAAAGTAAAAAGGGTACAGAAGCTAGGGATATGAAATATAAATTTACTCTTGCCAGGGAAAAGACAAACAAGTATGTATATACATATATATTATATATGCTATCAACATTTTTGTATTTTAGGGAACATGGGATAACTGATAGGGATTTGTTTTAAGAGATCTATACCATGACTGCAAAATTCATAGCTCTTAATTTGATTATCACTTGGACATTGGTATTTCATAATTTTAGCACAATTGGAGACAAAATTTAGGATGACATATGTCTTAAGACTTAATCTACCACTCTTATAAAGGGGTTGAACCTTGGCAGAAGGATGTTGTGGGATATATAAATCAGAAAAGTAACCTGGATATATCTTGATTTGATATATGCTGTCATAGAGGTGTCTCTGTGGTAACATATTCTTTAATGCTTTGTTGAATCTTTCCTCTTTAGTGAAATGAAAATGCATGCGTTTAACATACTTGCTCTAGTTCACTGTTTGATGGAATTTTTTGCATTCATTTTCCTCTTCATTTTCCACAGAAACTGCTAGTGCCCATTACTTAAATTGAGAGTGTTAGTGATAGTTTGAAAAATGATCATTTCAAAAACGCCATTTCCTACTTACTTTGAGTATATCCAAATAGTAATCTACCCTAATGTAGTACATTTGATATAGGCTAAAAATCAGTTTGACATAAAAAGTTTTTAATGGCTGAATTCAGTTTCTGGACTTCCGCCTAGATGAGAGTCATTAACAAAATCCCCCTTTGCCTTCTGTAAAGAATGTAACTGTACCTGACTATAGGGTTGTAGGAAAATAATATGAACATTCAAGTTTCAATACTGATTAACAAGACATGTTAAAATCTTAACATATGCATTTCTTTTAGGAATGCTGCTTAAAATAAATTGCTCAATTACAGTAATCTCAAGATAATTGCTTTTAATAGTTAAAAAAATTTGTTGGAAGGAAATGGCATTCTTATGATGTGTATCACAATTGGAAGTCCAGTATCATTTTCCCTGTCTTTCAGTTTAAGGGTTATTATTGTGCACTTTAGAAGCAATCTGGTTGCTGCTTTGGCTAGCATCTAACATGGAAAGAAGAGGAACATATTCTTTTTTTTATTTTATTGGAGGAACATATTCCTTAAGCAGCTATGATCTTTAGCTGTTTAAAGTGTTTTGAAATAACTTCTTTCCTCTAATGTCTGAAGAAATTTAAATCTGTG